ATCCGAGATAACCTCACGAAGGATGAGACGACAGTCGAGAGTCAGGAAAGTCAGGAATCCGAGATAACCTCACCGAAGGATCAGGCGAGAGTCAGGAAGTCAGGAATCCGAGATAACCTCACCGAAGGATGAGACGACAGTCGAGAGTCAGGAAAGTCAGGAATCCGAGATAACCTCACCGAAGGATGAGACGACAGTCGAGTCAGGAAGTCGGAATCCGAGAAACCTCACCGAAGGATGAGACGACCGAGAGTCAGGAAATCAGGAATCCGAGATAACCTCACGAAGGATGAGACGACAGGCGAGAGTCAGGAAAGTCAGGAATCCGAGATAACCTCACCGAAGATTGAGACGACAGTCGAGAGTCAGGAAAGTCAGGAATCCGAGATAACCTCACCGAAGGATGAGGACAGCCGAGAGTCAGGAAAGTCAGGAATCCGAGATAACCTCACCGAAGACGACAGAGAGTCAGGAGGATCCGAGATAACCTCACCGAAGGATGAGACGACAGGCGAGAGTCAGGAAAGTCAGGAATCCGAGATAACCTCACCGAAGGATGAGACGGACAGTCGAGAGTCAGGAAAGTCAGGAATCCGAGATAACCTCACCGAAGGATGAAGCGACAGGCGAGAGTCAGGAAAGTCAGGAATCCGAGGATAACCTCACCGAAGGATGACGACAGGCGAGAGTCAGGAAAGTCAGGAATCCGAGATAACCTCACCGAAGGATGAGACGACAGTCGAGAGTCAGGAAAGTCAGGAATCCGAGATAACCTCACCGAAGGATGAGACGACAGTCGAGAGTCAGGAAAGTCAGGAATCCGAGATAACCTCACCGAAGGATGAGACGACAGGCAGAGAGTCAGGAAAGTCAGGAATCCGAGATAACCTCACGAAGGATGAGACGACAGCGAGAGTCAGGAAAGTCAGGAATCCGAGAATAACCTCACCGAAGGATGAGACGACAGGTCGAGAGTCAGGAAAAGTCAGGAATCCGAGATAACCTCACCGAAGGATGAGACGACAGCGAGAGTCAGGAAGTCAGGAATCCGAGATAACCTCACACGAAGGATGAGACGACAGCGAGAATCAGGAAAGTCAGGAATCCGAGATAAACCTCACCGAAGGAATGAGACGACAGTCGAGAGTCAGGAAAGTCAGGAATCCGAGATAACCTCACCGAAGGATGAGACGACAGGCGAGAGTCAGGAAAGTCAGGAATCCGAGATAACCTCACCGAAGGATGAGACGACAGGCGAGAGTCAGGAAAGTCAGGAATCCGAGATAACCTCACCGAAGGATGAGACGACAGCGAGAATCAGGAAAGTCAGGAATCCAGAACCTCACCACAGCGAGAGTCAGGAAAGTCAGGAATCCGAGATAACCTCACGAAGGATGAGACACAGGCGAGAGTCAGGAAAGTCAGGAATCCAACCTCACCGAAGGATGAGACGACATGAGAATCAGGAAAGTCAGGAATCCGAGATAACCTCACCGAAGGATGAGACGACAGTCGAGAGTCAGGAAAGTCAGGAATCCGAGATAACCTCACCGAAGGATGAGACGACAGCGAGAGTCAGGAAAGTCAGGAATCCGAGATAACCTCACCGAAGGATGAGACGACAGTCGAGAGTCAGGAAAGTCAGGAATCCGAGATAACCTCACCGAAGGATGAGACGACAGTCGAGAGTCAGGAAAGTCAGGAATCCGAGATAACCTCACCGAAGGATGAGACAGGCGAGAGTCAGGAAAGTCAGGAATCCGAGAGATCCTCGAGAGTCAGGAAAGTCAGGAATCCGAGATAACCTCACCGAAAGATGAACTCTTAGGATTAGAAGAAACCGCCAAGGGTCTAGTTGTAGTATGTGGCAATCATCATACGATTGCCATAGCAAGGATGTCCCTAACGAAATTTCTATTTAGTAAAAAAAGTTAACGAAAGTTCTATTTAATATAAAAAGTTAACGAAAGTTCTATCTAATGAAAAAATATAATATGATTTAAAATAAGCATAAACGGGGAGGGTAATCCCAAAATAGGTTTTAACGCCTCGCGAATGAGAGTCGCATGAATCACGTGAACATAATAGTGGAAAGAATTAAGCCTTTTATGATAAAAACGGCTTGGTTCTTATCGACGAGATCGTGCTTGCTGGTCCTGGCCAGATGAAGGACCACCTTCTCAGGGCCCTTCCTTAAGACCTGACTAGGCTCGTAACCCATTCTGCCAGCCTAGGGCGGAGGTGGAAAAGGGGGTCTGTACGACCTCACGTAGACCCTGAAGACCTCGCGAAGAACGGAGGAAAACGGGGGGAGGGAGAGGCAGAAGGAGGCCAGGAAATCACGAACTGAGGGAGATGAGGACGAGACGCTGCACTTCAAAGATTACGACGAGTTTGAAGTCAGTTTCTTCTCTCCCCCTCGCTTCTCCTCCTTCCTCCCCCTCTCCTCTCCTTCCCCCTCGCTTCTCCCTTCTCCCCTTACTCCTTCCTCCTCCCTCTC